TAAACGGAGAAATAAGGGATGAGGGGATTAGGTGAAATATTTGAAGGTTTATTTATGTCGCTTGAAAGAAAAATGGAAAGAGGGTCTACCGTGAAATAAAATGGAGAATTAGAGTTCTAGACGTTATTTTCCCTTAGAATGTTAGAGAGGGTAACTATCACATTTCAGAGAGAGAAAGTACTTGAAACTTTATAGAGATGGACTATTTCAAATATTTAGAGAGAAAAACTCTCTTAAATTTAAAGTTTTAGAGATATAAAACCTTAAAATTTTAGAGAGAGAAACTATATGAAAGTTTAGAGAAAGTACCTGAAGAGTTTTAAAGATAGAAACTATCTCAAATTTTTTAGAGAGAGAAACTATCTAAAATCTTAAGTTTTAGAGAGAGAAATAATCTTAAAATTTTAGAGAGAGGAACTACTTGAAAATTTTTAGAGAGAAATATATCGAAACTTTTAGTGAGAGAAACTATCTCAAATTTTAAATTTTAGAGAAATAATATATTAAAATTTTAGAGATAGAAACTATATCGAATTCTAAATAGACAAACTATCTGAAACTTTTTAAATAGAGAAACTATCTCAAAACTTTTAGTGAAAGAATTTATCTCAAATTTAAAGTTTTAGAAGGAGAGTATATTAGAATATTAGATATAGAAACTATATCAAATTCTAAATAGATAAACTACCTGAAAATATTTAGAGAGATAAACTATGTCAAATTTTAAATTTTATAGAGAGAAGTGTTAGAATTTCAGAATATTGCAGAGAACTCTCTCTATATAAATTTGATAAAGAATTTACAAGACCCCATATAAATATTTGATCAGTAACAGTTAAAAATAAATACCAATAGTCAAGAGATACATATCAACTATATGTACATATCCAAATGTTAACAACTATCTCTACACGTCCCTTCAAATTGAGGTTGATTGAATAACATCAGTTTGTCAATGAGATAGTCATGATGAGCACTAGTCATTGCCTTGGTAAAAATATTTACAAGTTGTTGTTGTGAGGTAATATATAGGAGTGTAACTTCTCCGACCAGGAATTTTTCACGAATGAAATGACAATCAACTTCGATATGCATTGTACGGTCATGAAACACTGGATTTGATGCAATGTGTATGGCGCTCATATTATCAGCATACAACGGTGTACAAGAGCGATGAAGAATATTGAGATCATGTAAAAGACCTCTCAACTAAGTAATTTCACCACAATCTGAGGACATTGCTCGATATTCGGTTGTTGCAAAAGATTTCGACACAGTTTGTTGTTTCTTACATTTCCGTGATATAAGAGAATCTCTAAGAAATATACACCACCCAGTGGTCGAGCGTCGAGTATCTAGGCAGTCTGCCAAATCCGCATCAGCATATGCTCGTAACTGGAGAGAAGAGTTAGGGAAGAAAAATAAGTCTTAGTGGCATGTACCCCACAGATAACGAATGATACGATGGACAACCAAGAGGTGGATGCGACAGGGATCTGCAACAAATTGGCTGACGACCTGTATTGCATGAGATATATCAGAACGAGTCATAGTGAGATAAAGTAGACTGTCAACCAGTTGTTTACAAAAGAGTGGGATTTGTTGTCGTCATCATCCTTTATATATTTTATATTCACCTCTATTGGTATATCCACATGTTTATCATCAGATAAGTTGACCAATTTGATCAAACATTTGGTGTACTTCTTTTGGTTAACTATATATCCATTAGGGGAATAATGAATCTCTAGGCCAAAAAAGTAAGTCAACGGACCCAAATCTTTCATTTTGAATGAGTTACTAAGAACTTCTTTCAATATAAGAAAATGATAGTTATCCTTAAAGAATAATGGTGAGTAAATAGCGAATAGTCATGAGTACTTTGTTTCAACCCAACATTCATAACGACCTTTCGAAACCGTTCAAATCAAGCTCTTGGAGCTTGTTTTAAACCTTACCAGGAGTTTTTCAAATGAGATACCATAGACTTGTCATGGCAATACCTAGGAGGAGATCGTATATATACTGTATCTTTCAAATGTGCATGAAGAAATATATTTTTCACATCCATATGAGATATAGTCCACTGATGAATAACTGAGAGGGAAATTACAATACGTACAGTGATCATTTTAGCAACATGAGCAAATGTTTCTTTATAGTCTATGTCATATTCCTGTTTGTAACCCTAAGCAACTAGTCGTGCTTTATATCGTTCGATCCTTCCATCAAATTAAAGCTTCACAAAAAAAACCCATTTAGTTCCAATAATAGATGTGCGACGAGGGCATGATATAAAATCCCAAGTGTCATTTTCCAAAAAAGCACTTATTTCTGCATCCATAGCCTCCTTCCAACATGACACAGTCAAGGCTTGCTGGTAGGTTGAAAGAATATCAACGAAATCTAAACGGGTAAATAATGATCTAGGAAGTAAACAAAGATTTAGATGTTTGGAAGGAATTTCAATAGTATCAAGAGAAGTGAACAAAGCTCTAGGTTGTAGTGAAAAATATGGGAAAAGCCATATCGGTTAGGTGGGTGAGTTACACGTGAAGAACGTTGTAACTGAATAGAGTTATCAACAGAAACAAGATTAAAAGAAAAGGTGGAGGGAAGAGAATCACTTATAGGTAGGGCGGATGTTTGACCTTGCTCTGGTTAGTGAGATGGAGTAGGTATGTATTGGTTTTGTTGGCCTTGCTGTTGATGCACCAAAAGTTGTGATAATTTATTAGTGGTTTTGGCATCTGAGAAATCTGGAAAGAAATGAGCAGATGACCTTATGGAATTAGCAATTGAATGGTAATAAAAGAGACTTTCCAAAAAGACGACATTGCTAGAAATATGTATACGATGAGCTATTGGGTCATAACATAGAATCCCTTTTGGTCGGGACAGTAACATATAAAATTACAAGTGACTGCTTGAACATTAAATTTTGTTCGTTCATGCTGAGGAAGATGAATAAAATAGACACATCCAAAAACATGTAAAAAATAATAATTAGGATGAACATGAAATAATGAATAATATGGAGATTATTTATGCACAACAGGGGATGGGAGGCGATTTATGAGATAAACAGCTGTTGATACAGCTTCAACCCAAAAACTATGAGCAATACAACAGTCATGCATAAAGGTCCTAACAACTTCTTGGATATGACGGTTTTTTCTTTCAGCGATGTCATTCTATTGTGGAGTATAGGGACACGTTTTCTGTGATTGAATGCCCTGAGTTTTTTAAAAATCTTGAAACTCATGTAATAAGTATTTCCCCTTGGAATTTGATCGTAAGATTTTTATTTTTGTATCAAATTGAGTGGCAATCATGGATAAAAACATTTTAAAATGGAAGAACCCTTCAGACTTATGACGCATAAAATATATCCAAATATAACATGTACAATCATCAATGAACGAAACAAAATACTTGTATCTCATTCTTGATAAAATTGGAGCAGGACCCCATACATCATTATGAATAAGATGTAAAGGTGTAGAGAACTCTCTGTTTATTAATTTCAAAATATTGTAGAGAACTCTATGTATATTAATTTGATAAAGGATATACAAGACCCCATATAAATATACAGTCAGTAACAATGAAAGATAAATATCAACAGTCAAGAGATATATATCAGTCTGATATGTATCCATATCCATACGTTAACATATCCGTACATTAACAACTATCTGTACATATCTATACGTTAACAACTATCTATACAGGAAGGTATCTTAAAACTTTAGTGAGGGAAACTATATCAAATTTTTGATAGAGGAAGTATCTGGAATTTTTAGAGAAAGAAACTATTTCATAAATTTTTAGAGAGAGAGAGAGAGACTATCTCAAATTTTAAATTTAGAGATAGGGTATATTAAATTTCTAGAGAGAGAAACTATATCATATTTTAGAGAGAGAAACTACTTGAAAATTTTTTACAGAAACTATCTGAAAATTTTTAGAGATCCAAAATTTTGAATTTTAGGGAGAGAAAGTATCTTAAAATTTTAGAGAGATCAATTATATCAAATTTTAGAGGGAGAGACTATCTCATAATTTTTAAAGAATGAGACTATCCAAAATTTTGTGTTTTAGAGAAAAAAAGTATATTAAACTTTTAGCGAGAAACTATATCAAATTTTGTTACCAATCAATAGACATAATAATGATAGTAAGGAATCAATGAATTTTATATGGTATATTCAAATAAGAGATATGAGAAATCCATGACAATAATCTGAATGATTTGAGGAATCCATGAGAATATCCTTTGATATTGAAAATCCATAAATCTTTTTAGATTTCAAATATCCAAACTTATTTTTCTTAGCCCAAGAAATAAAAGTGGCAAGTATAAATAGGATATTTTGAGCTCAATTGATTATATCCATTGATATCCGTATATTCCAACAAAATATCACGCCCATATTGCCCATATTATTTGGCGCTTAATATGAGTTTCATCCAATAACGCTCCCCCAATGTGGATAATGCGTACTTTGAATTAGTACACAGAAGAAAGGGTTGGAGATAATTATAGCAATTCAGATATTTTAGGGGGTGGAAGAGGGGCATTTTGGGTAAAGGAAAAAGGACCCTTCGAGCCCAAGAAAGGCGAAGGCAAAAGAGAGGCGCACGAACCGGTTGCGTCTCCGGAAGTTTCGACAGCCACGTGGAAGAAACCGGCGGCCGCAGTTCCGCCACGAAGCCGCTAGTTTAACGCCACGTCACCATCCTCGAATATCTTCTTTCTTTTGAGAGTCCCCTCCCCCTCTATAAATACCAGGTCCCTTTTCCTTCGTGAAGGTTCTTTGGCTCTCGAAATCTCAATCGACGCTGTTTTTGTTTTTGGAGAGAGAGAAGAAACATTACTTGGAGAACAAGTTAGAGAGAAGAGAAGAGATTTTGTTTTGGAGGAGAGGGAAACAGATAAATATCAAAAGTTCGGGTTATCGCCGTATGTCTTCATCGTCCGAGCCTCTAAGGTGGGAGTAGTGAAGAATTTTTTTCAGTTTGTTTATGCTCTCTTTTTATTTCTATGTTAAATTTCTAATGGTTTTTACTTTGGATTTGTTTTGTAGTCTACTTATAGGATGTATTAGTAGCACGATTGATGGATCATGATTGAAAATTTCATCTCTTTGAAACTGTTTGCTAGTTCAGTTTTTTCATCTTTAATGAAATTAGTTGATTTCTTTGCTGTTTGCATATCTCCCTGCTCTGTATCTGGAAAGAGAACTTACTTCTTTTATCGTATTTTCCCTTTTCTTTTCTTTTTTATTTCTTATTTGACCTGGAGTTTCACTAGGAGTTTCAGAAAATAACCCCTTTCCTTTTTCTTTTTTTTTGCTTTAAAGGAGCATAGTAGTTTTCTGTTTCAATATTGGTGTTTAATGGCAGTTTTAGGGTTTTACCAAGGTTCATTAGTTCGTTTAGGGTTTACGTCCAGTCCTCTTATTCTTTTTCTCTTTCCATTTAAACCCCTCGTTTTGAAACCCTGGTTTCATTCTTTTTCTCTTTCCATTTAAACCCTGGTTTCATTCTTTTTCTTTTTCCATTTAAACCCTGGTTTCATTCTTTTTCTCTTGCCACTTAAACCCTGGTTTTGAAATCATGTTTTGAAACCAGGGTGGCGTTTAAACCCTGGTTTTGAAACCATGTTTTGAAACCAGGGTGGCGTGTTTGAATCTATGGCATTGAGGTTGGAGGTTGGACCTAGGGTTTGCCTTCAGGGCAGGGTGGGTTAAATGTTCGACGATTTTCTACGAGCTTAGCTCTAAGTAAACGAATTGGGATTTCTCCCCTGGGTTTTCTACTAGCTTAGCTCTTGAGTAAACGAATTGGGATTTCTCCCTTGAGTTTTCTACTAGCTTATCTCTTAAGTAAACGATTTAAGTTGGGATTTCTCCCCTGGGTTTTCTACTCGCTTTTCTCTTAAGTAAACATTAGGAAGAGAGTGAGGTAGCTTTTAAGTTGACGAATAGGAAGAGAGTGAGGTTTCCTCTATGGACTTGAGGTTGGACTTACGGCTTGTGCTCAGGGCGGGGTGGGTTAAATTTTCGACAATTTTAAAAAGCTTGGGTTTTCGACTTGAACTCGTAAGTAAACGAATAGAAAAATAGAGAAAGTTAAAGAGGAAACCTCTTAAGGTTGGATTTAGGGTGAGGTTTTCTCTAAGGCGTTAAGGTGGGACTTTGACTTAGGGTTTGTGCTCAGGGCAGTTCTCTTCTTATCCCTAGTATGGTCTTCTAAAATTTATATATATAGATATATATATTTTTGGGGAAGAGGGATGCTGGGGTTTAGGGTTTCCGGTGATGCACCCAAGCACGCAACCTCATGCATTGAGGTGGTATGGGTCGTGCATGGGGAAAATCTATGCCAATAGCTAGGCACACCCATGCAGTATGTTCAGTGGTCACCGAGGTGTGAGCATAGGCACGGCGTCGTGAGTGCCTACCGGTAGCATGAGCTGGGCACACCTGTTCGATGAGCTTTCATGCTGTTTTAGTTCCGTGTCTTTCGTATCGTCTGGGTTTTGTAATGCCGTTCTAGTTGTGGTTTCTCGCGCGTACCGACTTCTTCTAGTGTTGGCCTTGATTCGAGTGTTGCCCAGCTCTGGTGGGTCATGGACGTTTTACGGATCTTGCGGCTTGATTTTTTGGCCTCTACCCGTGAGATGAATGTCGCTCAGTGTAAGCCAATGCGCCTATCACAATGCTTTGACTTTTTAGAAATTTAACCTTTGTGGTATATTGAAGTTAGAGGATTAATGGGAAGAAGAATTATTAGGGATTACTGTTCATAATTCACAACTTGCTGCCTTTCTTGTTATTTAGGAATTGACATTCATTATTTACTCATGGTACTGAATTTATGGTTTCAATGCTTCACAGGAGAAGGAAGACGAGGAGCCGTCGCCATGGCTGCAACTCTGTAGCCGAGACCCTCGCTCGGTGGAAGGCGCTTAACAGTCATCCAGAAGGTTCCAAAGATGCCCCCAAATGGGTCAGAAAGGTTCCAGCCAAAGGTTCGAAGAAGGGCTGTATGAGGGGCAAAGGTGGGCCTGAAAACTCTCGATGTAATTATCGTGGTGTACGGCAACGAACATGGGGCAAATGGGTTGCTGAAATTCGTGAGCCAAATCGAGGAAACCGCCTATGGCTTGGTACTTTTCCCACTGCCTTAGCTGCTGCGTTAGCCTATGACGAGGCAGCTCGAGCCATGTATGGCTCTTGTGCTCGCCTCAATTTGCCTGATACTACTGAATCATCATTAACCTCATCCATTTCTCACTCCAATTCGGCTGAGGTCTCTAGCCATCAGATCCACCTAGACCAACATTCAGATAGGGGAAAAACTGGAATCGAGGGTGACTTTGATAACAGAGGTTCACACGCTCTCTCCAACACAGCTGAAGTCTCAAGCCATCATAATGCAACCCATTCCTCCAACCCGGCTGAAGTCTCAAGCCATCATGATGCTACCCATCCCTATCCTTCTTTGGACGGGGACAAAATTAAAATCAAGAGCGAATATGAGAACATTAGTTTTGCGTGTCGACCTATCTCAAGCCATCATACCTGCTTGGAGCCATCAGATGGGGGCAAAATTGGAATCGAGCGGGAATTCGAGAATATGGGTTTCAAAAGGGATGAGATCGTCAGTAATGGGCCGGGTGTAAAATTGGAAGCAGCTGAAGAGAATTTGCATCAACGGCCAGAAGTGTTCCAAGTGGACGACATGTTTGATGTGCAAGAGTTGTTGGGGATGATGGATGAGGAAGAGGCAGGATCACCTAGTGGAGCCCATGTGGAGCGCGACTGCTTGGCAAGCCCTTCTGCACTTTCCTTTCAGTTGAATAATCCAGATGCGAAGCTCCTCGGGAGCTTGTATCATATGGATCAACTTGGTACTCCATACCATATGGAGCAGGGACCAGCTCTTGATTATTTGGGTATGCAGGATTATGGGTTTTCTAAGGCTTTTGAGGAGCAGGCTGAGGACATGAATTTTCCAGATTTGTGCTTCTGATGTGGGGGGTTAGAGAGAGCTGAGAGGAATTTAGTAGGTCTCGGCTGCTTGGGGCTCTGGTTTGTGCATCATAGTGAAGAGTGAGGCTTCCCTCAATTCCATCTCTAATTTGCAGTTGAAGAATCAGGATTGAAGTGAAGAGATGGGGGTTTGGTTTGAGAAAGAGAATGGGGGTTCAATTAGTTAATTCTTTGGGATTAATGCGTTTGAATAGAAGTGGTTTTGTCAAATATGCATTAAGAGTTGCTGCAATCTTTCAACAATGTTCACTTTTGGCGGGTGCCTTCCTGCCTGCCCTGGCTGGGGGTTTTGTGCTTGGCCCCTTTTTCCAGTGGGGGCCATGCCTTGTCAAATGGCTCCCTTCTTTTTTAAACAAATTCTGTAACTACAATGGTTTTCTCTTTACTTGGGTTGAGCACCCCCCTATTCTTTGGTATGATGTGGATAATAATGGACATGAATCATTATAGTGAACATTTGTTATACTTGAGATCTCCGGGATCTTATGATGTTTGATATTGCACAATGTACATTTACATGCTGTGAATAGTAGAAATGCATTCTCTCTGTGCATCCCACTTTTTTGTTTTGGTTTTTGGGGTGGGGGGATCTTGTTACCATTGTGTTGATTGATGTTTCTCTTCAATGTTCTAAGAAAAATTTCGCTTGGAGTACCAATTTTCATTTTTTTTTTTTATGGGAGGAAATCAAAGGGGGGAAATCAAAGGGAAAACTGAGTCTCTTGGTTGATCTCTTTCCTGATGGGTTGACTTGTTTTACTAGTATTTTCTTTTCTGATGAGTTGTGATTTGTTTTATTTCTTTTTTAGTTGATCTAGTTTTCTAATGGGTTGTGATTTTGTTTTACTACTCTTCCACAATCGATCGCCTTAGTTATAAAATATCCATTGAGCTTCACTGGGGTTTTTGATTTGTATATTGAGCCACCCTTAGAAATTGACCAGGGATATTTGCATATTCTCATTTATGGTATGGAGAGCTTTTTTGCTTTAGCTGAACACAAACAAAAGAAAGTATCTTATCCCATTCCCTAAGAAATAGAGATTCTGTTGCGAAACCAATAATGTTCAAGAGGGCATAATAGGGTGCCATCAGATATTTTGTGACAAAGGATATGCGATTTTTCATGTTCCACTTGAGGAAGGGCCAGGATTCTATCCGTACTTCAACACAAAGTACACGCCAAATCTCATTTTGATTTTTTCTTTTTTTTCCTATACTTTATAAAACCTTCGAAAGAGATGGGGTCAAATGTGCGAATGATATTCTGATGCTATTTCATATTCATCCTAACCATTCTAAAGAATGAATTCATTGACAGCGATGTTCTATTTAAGCATTCTAAACTCCCGACTTATGAATTTCATTGAAAGCTATGATCTATTTAAGCATTCTAAAGAATGAATTTCATGGATCTAATCCACATTGAGCATGTGGTTTGGACTCTTGGCCTCGATGTTTTAGAGTAAAGCTCGCGATGGATTGGACTCTTTGTCTCTAAGGTTCAGGTTCTTTGGCATGGTAAAAACACAATATCTGCAAATCAGATTCCTGATCCTCGGAGTGGCGTGAAATGTGGCATTATAACTTTGCATGTGAGTACTGATTGCCACTTTTCGAAAAAAACCTCGCATGGCATATAATTTTTGCATGCCATTTTTGAATGCCACTTCTCTAAAAAGCCTTGCACAGCAGATGACTTCGCCTGATACGGAAATCCCGTTTGTTGCAACTACTGAGTGCCACTGCTCAAAAGAGCCATGCATGGCATATAATTTCGCATACCATTTGCTGATCGTCATTACCAAAGAAAGACGCTTTAATGGCAAATGAGCTGGCCTGATGCAGAAATCAGGTTCATTGCAATCGCTGATTGCCACTACTCGAAAAAGGCTTTGCATGAAAAACGACCTCGACCGATATAGAAATCCAAATTCATTGAACCTTCGTCACAGTCGAACGAATTGGCACGTGTGCTCCAATATTCAATGAAATTAAAATGCAAGCGACACACTTCAGTATGGATATTTGGTCTTTTGCGAATTTTGGCATTGAAAGGAGGGTGAACTTTGGTCATATCGCTTATCCAAGAAATGGCGCACCACAAACACAATGTGTCATCTTTCTTTTAATGCTCGATAACGCTTGGCCGACCCAGCGATAAAATCAAATTGGCCTGAAAAGCATATTATCTTACGATACCTGTCAATGTGGCCAAATGTGGGAACAAATGCACTTTCCATGGATACCAGCTCATAGCCTGGTTAAATTGGTTAGAATTTGAAAATACAAAACACCTTTGTAATAGTGATATGAAAATTTGAACTTGAAAAATGCTAATAGTGTGTTCCTAATTGCTGTCAATGGCTTTTTCTCCTTTGTGATTGAGTGCAAATTCAAGGCCTGATTCAGGATTATCCCGCAGGCCTTCGGGATTACCCTGCAATGAATCCCATCACATGATGTGGAATGTTCCACATCAATGTGAACTGAACCTAAGAGAGGAAACACACAAAGGACAACTCTATCACAACTAGTGAACTAAGCAAATGGAGTTGGCACTAGGGGATGTATGGAAAGAGTCTGTGTTGCTTGTCATGCATTGTGTGGTTCTATTTGTTCCTTTTTAATCTTCACCCTTTCTTATCGAAGTTTGGAATTGGACATATCTTTCAATATCGACCTAAACAAAAGTGAACAGATTCTACTTCATATTGATTTCAAACTGAAACAAGCATTTAACCAATTAATACTATGCCAGTTACTGTGAATTATGCTCTTTTAAGATCTGCATTATCATAGTTGGGGGACCCCTCACATAAGGAGCTTTCACCATCAATCTTTCATTAGGGTTCTCTTTGATGTAGCCTCTGCTGAGCCTTTTAATTTCAAATTTGAAATAATTCTTCAGTATTGGTAAAATTGCTGGACTTTTAGAAAGGTTTCTAGAGGAACTTGGTAAGGGGCCAAAGGTAAGATCCCTGTAAGGGGGGGCAAATGAGCAATCCACATTAATTAGGTGAACAAATATTGGGTTCCACTGTCTATAGGTGTCAAATATCTTTCACACTTTTTATAATGTGGGTTGGACAGTTGGGCTTTTGTTAGTGGTCCTTTCTTGTGTCTCTCTTAACCTCCATAAAGAAAGCCGCTAGGGGCCTAAGTTGTCTTTTGAGTAATATATATGTGTATTTACATGTGTGTATGTTTCACAATATTTTAAATTACATGTTGAATCCATACTGTTCAACTAAAATTAACCATGTATACCTAGTATCAAGAACAGGATATGATTATGATCTCAAATAAATCTTCATGTATATAGAAAGCATGTAAATCCCCCCCAAGTTATATGAAAAAATGAACTTATAAAAGAATAGGGATTGTACACAAAGTGACCATTTGTCTTTGGAAAAAGAAAGTCTCAATTACTAGCTGTCTCACAGAGTTTGAAAAAAAAAATTTAAACTTTGTGCTTGATCAATGAAATAAATGCAGCCACCCAATTTCACATTCAATGGTCAAGATTTATTGCCACCATCTTATACCAAAGATAAATGGTCTCATCATATACTTTTCTTAAAAAATATTTATTTGGAGAAATTCTTATTTATTTATTTATTTATTGTCTATTAAGCTTTACTTTGTTACCTTATTGTTTTACATTTAATTTATATGTAATTTATCATATGCAATTGTATTTCTTCTACTAAAAAAAAAAAAAAAATTGTATTTCTTATGTTACTATTTTCTTTGTTGAGATAGGTATCTAACGATTTTAATGGCACTTCCTATTTTGCTAGGAGTTCTGATTTGACATTAAATGTAGTTAAATTCGTATCTTTTATAGGGTTTTTTTTCATAAGGATTCTTATAAAAGTGCAAGACCTAGGAGAATTGGAGGAGAAAAAATCGCTAGGAGATTTCAAAATTCACACCCACAAATTTTTCTTCTCATTATCCATTAATAGTATTCATTATGAAGTAAAGCAAAACAAGTTTCTTTATTGACTACTAGAATAATGGCCACATGAGATTTATTCGGACTAGGATCATGCACCTATGTTGCAGGTGTCATTAAAACGTTTGCCTTATGTGATGCAAAGAAAAAATTATTATTATTATTATTAGTTTTTTTAGTTTATCTTTTAACTCAAGAATAGGAAGTGTGCAAGGATAATTAGGTGGACATATTTTGTGTGTGAATTGATATTGATCAATTGATGGTCACTTTAGGAGTATAAATAGGATAAAGTTAAATAATGGAAGTTTATCTATTCAATAAGGCAACATTTTGCCTCTAGGGGGAGGGCTTTGGATAAAACGTGGCCAAGCCCATTTATTTTTAGTACGTGAGGTTAAGAGATAGGGATGAGAGAGGAATACAACATGGCCAAGCCCATTTGTTTTTGGTACGTGAGGTTAAGAGATAGGGATGAGAGAGGAATACAACATGGCCAAGCCCATTTATTTTTGGTACGTGAGGTTAAGAGATAGGGATGAGAGAGGAAATAAGTTTAGAGAGGAAATAGTTTAAAAAAGCAAAAATACGGAAGAGAGATAAAATTGGAAATGTTTTTTTTTTTTTAGTCTATTTAAAGGGAGATTTCCCTTCACTGTAAATCAGTGAATGAGTTAATAAAATTTGGTGAGATTAGTTTGGGGTAGATTCCCTTGTATACTAGTGAATGAGTTAATAAAATTTGGTGAGATTATTTTGGGGTAGATCCCCTTGCATACCTTTGAGAGAGAGTATATTCTCTCAAACTTTTATACTTTTATTTTTTTATTGTTGTTTTTTTGGTTTTATTTTCTCTCTGCATCAATTGGTGTCAGAGCAAATTAGATCTGGGAGCAAATTAGATCCAGAGATATCCGGTTTGTTTTACAATGCCACCAAAAGCTAATCAAGTTAATCCTGGTTTGTTTTACAATGCTACCAAAAGCTAATCAAGGTAATTTTGCTGCTGTAATGGATGATCGATGATCGTTGGGGAAAAGCTATAAAAATTTTGACTAAAAAGCTATAAAAATTTTGACTAAAGCCCTAGATGATGTTCGAATTGAAATACGTTAGATGAATCAAGCCCTAGACGATGGTCACACTGAAGTACGTGAGATAAATCAGGAGATGAATCAGATGAATCATGAGATGCAACAGTTGGATAAGAGGTTGCAGCAGTCGGATAACAATGTTCCTCGTGACGAACAAGAGATGCAACCGTTGGATCAGAGGTTGCAACGGTTGGAGAACAATTTTTTTCATGAAGAATGTACTCACAACCACATTAATCTTGCATCAGTAACTCTACAACAAACCCAGGGTGTTGATTTCGAGGAACAAAGATTACAAGCCAAATCCACATCCTATAAAACTACCACAAGGTTTTGATATTAAATTCGATCTCCCAAAATTTTATGGTCAAGGATGTTCATTGATTGCATATAGTGCATCTTTCGAGCAGGACCCATTCCTAGTTAGAAATAATCATTTGGTGCGTCTTAAGTTCGTATTCAACAATTACTCTGCGAATACAATCGCAGGTAAAAA